CTCCTCATCAGTGGCTTGCGAGTGAGCAATAAGAGTGAAAATCCAGTGGTGCATTGGCATCGATGCCCTTTTGAATAAACAAGAGAGTATCTGACGAACATTGCTGGAACCTGATATATGCTGAATATCCGTGCTGAACTTGAGCTATATAATTTAAATGCCGAATTTGTCTCGGGAAGCAGAATTTGATTTTGATGTGAATGCATAAGTTAGAGGTCGGTGATCAGTAAATATAGTGAAGTGTTGACCTTCAAGATTATGCCTGAAATACTTAATAGCTGCGTAAATAGCTAATAACTCTCTGTCATACATGCTGTATTTTTGTTCGGTGGGGGGCAGCTTACGTGAGAAAAATCCTAGCGGCTGGTAGTTATTAGAGTGTCGAAGGTTTAAGACAGCTCCGATGGAAATGTCAGAAGCGTCGACCATAATACTCAGCTTTTGGTTAGGAGAGTGATAGGAGAAAGAGTTGCAGCATTAATAAGGTCACGCTTACATTTTTCAAATGCCCGATTCAGTTCGTCGTTCCAAGGAATGGAGCGTTTATCATTTTTACGTGAATTTTTTAAGAATTCGTTTAATGAAGCTTGGGTCTCAGCTGCCTTTGGAAAGAAGCGACGATAAAAGTTTATCATGGCTAAGAAACGTCTGAGCTCGACAATAGTGGTAGGTTTTAGGAAGTTGGCAATTGCTTTTGTATTTTCAAGCAGGGGTTTTACACCCGAGGCAGTAATGCGGCAACCTAAAAAGGGAAACGGATGGTTTTCCGAGTACGCATTTGTTAGGGTTTAAGTCCAAACTGTGTTTTTTCAAACCATCAAACACTTGGGGAAGATGACGGATGTGCTCTTCTAGTCGATGCAATAACGACATCGTCAAAATAAGGGATGCAAAAATCCAATCCAAATAAAACTTAATGTATAAAAAGTTGGAAAGTTTGGCCTGAATTACATAAACTAAACGGTATAGCCAAAAATTCAAAAAGACCAAAAGGGGTAGTGACGGCCGTTTTCGGAATGTCTGCAGGGTTAACAGGGATTTGACGATAAGCACGGACTAAATCAAGCGTTGAGAATATGTTCTTTCTTGAAAACATTTGAGTGCAATCCTAAATATGGGATACGGGATAATGATCTGGAATAGTAACGGCGTAACTGTAATAATAATAATAAAGAGTTCTCCGCAATGCCTTTTCTTTGAAAAAATTCTATTGCAAAGTTTTCGTCACTGGGCAACTCCCAAATTGTGAAATCCACAGCAATATCGAAAAAGGATTTAAAAATTAAACTAGTATTTCGGTGGCATCTTAAGAAATATAGAACTATCTACACTTACGCAATTTGAAATCAGCGTTTACACTAGATTTGGCGAGCTGTTAAATGGGCGCGCTTGCTAGATTTGGCGCTTTCGCGCATACATTTTCGCTGCAATTTTTTTTACAGTCCTCAAAACTTAATAGTACTAGAATTTCTTATTATAAAATGGATTTTACATTTATCTGAAACCCTACATATTTCTATGTTTATTTAATGAATTAAAATTCGTTAGAGAAACTTGAAGGAAGATGGGTGAGGGAGGCAGTTAAGTTTTTGCCCTGCCTAAGAAAAATGCCAAATCTGGCACTGACAGTAACCTATCTATGTTTGACGAGTCAAAATATATAACATGGTGTCAGAATTAATCCTGCTCACGAATTTAATGCATAAATTAATATTTTAAGGATTACGTGCATCTAAAAATCTTGGAAGAAAAATGGCGTATAGCCTGTCCACATTGTCACTGTTTGACACTGGATCGAACCCTTCTGAAGCTTGGAGACACTGGAAGGGACTTTGAAGACTAGAGAGGCACTAAGATATAGCCAAGAGTCCGAAAGCACAAAAACTGCGTCTTTTCGACATGTTTGCGGTGACGAATTAAAAAAGCAATATCGATCGTTTGATTTGAAGCGAGAAGCGGGCAGCAGTGAAGTGTCCTTGAAACAAGTGCTACAAGAATTCGACAAATATTTCGCAGATTATCAAAACGAGATTTATGCATCATTCAAGTTTCTGGAAAAAAAGCAAGAGAAAGGAGAGAAATTCACGGACTTTTACTTAAGGCTACGATGTGCAATAGTAGACTGCAACTATGGGCAAGCCAAGATAGAATGCTCCGTGATAAAATAGTGCATGGCCTCTCAGACAAAGCGTTACAAGAACGGCTAATACGAGAGACAAATAAAGCGAAAAAGACGCTGCAGAATATCATCAGTGAACGCATCCAGGAATAATAGCTTTTATCTCCCCTTTGGCTATGTAAATAAAAGGTAATAACAGGATTAAAGATATAGCAGCAACACTTCATTCACTCAGTAGCCAGCTATCACCTTCAGTAGCAAGAACAAAAATATTAATAATTTTTCAAGTATTTATGTTGCGCATAGTGTATAATTCCACTGACCAAAAGCTGGCAATGAAATTTATATAAATTTTCTGTCACAAAGATATCAAAGCAATCTTTGTAGTAATAACTGAATTTTGAGTTGCTTATACACTAGGTTACCCCCACCCATAGTCCTACATACTGGCTTAGCATTATACTCTAACAGTCTTAGCTCTGGAAGCAAAAAATATAAGACTTTGGCTCCCACTACCGAAAAAAGCAGCTTATGCTGTCTTGGACAGTAATGGCTTTGTCCATCCGAGCGTGTGAAAAGGTGATCAGTCTTCTTCAATTTCAACAAGCTCCACACCTTTTGTGTGTTTCAGAGTTTATAAAAAGTTTGCCACCTTGTTTGGGGCCAGGGTGTTGCAGCAAGTGTGACAAAATGACTCCTTTCAGAGGAGCTTATGATGCCAGTACACTCGACCGATAAAGAGTTCGGCAAAGAAGGTGAGCCACGTTATGCCTAAACCTGTGGAGGAACACGTATATAATTTACCTTACATTATGCACTAGGTAAAGCGCATCTAAAGTTATTGAGTCACACCAGTATAAATCACAGGCAGTGGGTGAATTGATTAATGCAGATGTAAACGCTTCTATATCTGTTAACTAATTCCACAGCTAACGTTATTATGTTTGCTCCAAAGACAAATATCAAAATAACTTTTGAATATTTTTCCTAAAATGAAAGAACGGCGTAATTTCTTATCTCCGTATGATTCTGAAAAAAGCATTCACAATGATGCGAAAAAGGATAATTTTTCACTATGATCGTAGTTGCGAATTCGATTACACTTAAAAATGAAGAAAATCCTTATCGATAGCGGAATTATTTTATCCATTGTTATGTTATATACAACAGAATAAAATGGTTCTTCAGAAAAAGAAAACAGAACAATAGTACAACTTGGTTGTTGAATGCTTGCTGTCAGTAAAGTATCAAGATCTCAAAAGCCAATGCATGTGAGATGGCAGTATACATTTTTAATTACTGATCCCATATTAAATCAAAATAAGAATGTTTTTTAGCATTGACTTGGTCTATAGTTGACTTCTTTAAATCACTTACATGTTTTTGGAAATGAGCATTACACAAACATTCCGAAGCAGTTAAGTCATAAATTTAGCAGCAAAAATATGTATGGTTATGAATATCAGGTATTTCCATCAGTGCATAAAATAATTAAACCTTGTGGTGTTTATTTTAAATCTGAACATGTGTCTACAGTGCCTAATATTATTGCAATAAATGATTCAAGTTGTAAAAGTGGCGTACATCCCTAAATTCCTCATCATATTCCAAAGAAATAAGTCTATGACGGCATTTCTAAGAACCCGAGACAGTCAACCCAGATGAAACAATGTTTATTTTATGCGTGCTAATGCAGCTGCTGAGAATAATTCCCTGAATACTGTTACATATACTAAACCTATTGCATCAGATGAAACAGACAAGTGGCTTAATGTTTTGAAAGATAAGATATTAGAACAATACTGACAGTAGCAGCAAACGAAAATTTGCATATACATTGCATATAAACTTTACTGTGCATTTAAAGAGATGTATTTACACATAAACCAGAAGACTTCGATGACGACACTGATAGAATCTGTAAACTGAAAAGGCGTCTCTATGGACTGAAACAAGCACCAAGGTGCTAGAATCAATACTTTGTTGGCTTATAAAAAATGAATGCATAGAAAAACATAATGTTGAACCAATCTCTTTTTTAGAGAATGAGATAATAAGAACCTGGTTGTAGTGATAAACATGAATGATGGTTTGATTGATGAGCTTCATCAAGATGAGGCTGATGAATTGCTCCCCTAACTGAGATAATGCTTTTTTATCACCATAGGCTCACTAAATAATTTTCTTGAAATGTAGATAAAACAAAATACAGAAGGCATTTCATCATGACACATGAAAGAATTATTTTAGTTTACTCGAAAAGCTTACACTAATATAATTCTGATTCGTTTTGGTATGTCTGATGCCAATCCTGCCGCAACTCCATATAATTTCTGCAGAAATGGCAATGATACTTTGCTTAAAAATGAAATTTCTTACAGTGAAGCCAATTGGCTAACTAAGTTAATGACCGCTACACGTCTAGTTTTCAGTTTCATGTGCTTAAAAGAAAAAAAATACTACCGAAACCAGCTGGATTTCTGCTAAGCATGTTTTTAGTTATTTGTGTAATAGTATAAATTGCAGTCTCCTTTATCAAAGGAACAATGATCCATCTTTTAAGGAATTCAGTGATGCTAACTTTGCTGAAAATGCTAAAACTCAACGTTCCACCACTGGAATTATTGCAAACTATGTAGCTGGAACTCTCTTGGTTATCTTCAAAGAACAGTAGTGTTATCAACAACATAAGCCAAATTTATTACTAATAAAGTTCTCAAAGAATCACTATAATTAAAGTCGCTTTTAAATGAAATTGCTGGATACTGCAATGAACTTTCACGGCTTTATATTGTTTAATGCAAGTGCACTGAAACTCACCTAAATTCTAGAATTCCATAACCAATCAAAGCATATTGAAGTACATTATAACTTCATGAAAGACTGTTATCTAATTGGACTTTATTAATAAAGCACACAAACATAAAAATACAAGTGGTTGATATTTTCAGCGAACCGTTAGAAAGATTACACTTCAAAATGTAGCGAAAATCTATTAGCGTACCTACTTTAAGATTTGCTGAAGAAAAATAAGCTAGATTGTAATTAAGCACCATCTATAACTTTGTAAATTGATATGGCTAAGTGGTAGATGTATTACAACATCTGCTCATGATGGCAATTTTCTATTTTTATTCTTTGCAGGTGTAATCATAAAAAAATAAATGCTTTAACTAAAATGCCAATTTTTTTAATAGAAAAAGCTCTAACATACTGAATGCACAGTATACAATTTACATATCTAATTACTCATTAGATACAAAAAAGACTGCAACAATAATTGCACTATATTTTACACACCTAACTACAATTAAAATCCATATTAGGATATGCCTTCAGAATTCACTAAAGAGTAAAAAGCATACAAAATATAAAATATAAATTTCAATTTCAGTCAGTAGCCAAAAAGTAATTTTAACTAAATTTTAGACAAAATTTGCCTATCACAGTATAAAACATCAAAACACATTGTTAATAAAATACACGAAACTGAAAGAACCAATTGGTGTAATTACATCCAAATCTTATATGTCACTTTCTCTGAAGATGCCCAACACCACATTTTTATGCATGACACAAATCAAAAAAGTAAAATTACATGAAAACAGCCATCATGAGTGCATTATTTCATACATATGAAACTTTTAATTTCAAACATAAGTAAAAATGAAAGTAAATCACATATTAAAATCATAACGAATTTTCATTCTTTTTTTCACTATATAGTTTCACTTAAAACAATGAATTAGATGTTGAAGAAGTCTGCATGCAAACCTGTTACATTAACAAACTCGTATTAATTTTTATGTGACAGAGAAACACAGATGCAGACTGTTTCCTGTACTGAGGAAACATTCATTCATTTTAAAAACGCGCAGATTCGTAAGTCCTCTCAAAGTAAACAGAAGCACAACCTTATGAGATATTTTCAAGACAAAAAATTCCCAGTAACTTCTCTGATATCAATTCATTACTCATATTGGGCTTGTACTGAATGTCCCATGGGCCGCATGCCTTCCATTTCTGCTACTGAGAAGTGGTGTTGCTGCAGTTCTACCCTCTGTATCACATTCAAATTCATTTGTGGCAGTATTGCTGCTCAGAACAACTTTCTGTTTGCACACAGGGCAAATGCATCTATTATTTAACAGCCATGGATCAATACACCTAGCATGATAACCTGAAAAGGAAGATGATTTTGCATTTTAATAGCACAGATTTCGGCAAATCTTAATTAGAAATATAAGTAAAATACATATATAAAAGATTCTAATTAAGATTTAAATTGAAAAAAAATGAAATTGAATTTTAAATTCGATTTAAACTGAATAATTAATTAAATTTTAAATTGAATGAAATTAAATTTTAAATTGAAAAATAAAAAACATTTTCAAACAGTAAAATAACTGAGGTAGATTTCATCACACAGCAAAATAATTGGTCTGTATGGTAAATACAGTGTAAGGCCAAAAGTATCAAGACATCCTTTACTTTACAATCAAAGATCCACATGGCACATATTAATAGGGGGTTTTTCCATAGTTTACATCCGTTACAGCCTTCATTCATTTGAAAAGATTTTTAACAGTTTTTGATATTCATCTGCAGGAACTGGCTATTATTTATCCAAGACAACTGTGAGTCTGACGATTTAGTCGGGTGTGTAATCTCTGAGTTTCAATTCTTCCCAGGGGTGTCAACGGGACTGAGATCGGAATTCTAGCTAAAAGAGGATCGGAGAAAGCTAGTATAGTTTGTTGATACCCATCTCTTCAAACCAGAAGCATAACCTGCATGGACATAATGTAGAAACGGTCCTTCCCTGAACTGTTGCCAAAGGGCTGGAAGTGCAGACTAATCCCGGATATCAAGACAGAGCTCAGCATTCAGCAGGAATTCGTTCATAGAAACAGTCCTTCCCTGAACTGTTCCCAAAAGGCTGGAAGTGCAGACTAATCATGGAAATCAAGACAGAGCTCAGCATTCATCAGGAATTCATTCATATCAGGAACTCATCGGTGTGTTTCAGCCTTAAATGCGATAATTCTTAAATTTCATCTGGAGTAGTAAAATGTGAGTATACATCATGTGTTGTTACTTATTTGAAAATGTTCAGTTTCTTGTAATTCAATGTCTTCTGCACTTGTGTGTGACATGCTTACTTTGTATTCAAGCAGAATATTCTGTGTGTTAATTATTTTGTTTAATCACGATTCCACTATAGTAGCACTCAGAGCTGTAGCTAGGGTTTTCAGCACTCAGGGACAACTGAAGATTTTGTGCTCCCTTCTGTGTGCCAAGAATGGAAAACAGTTCCTTCTAAAATTTCTTAATATCAATTTGGCTCCTCTGGATGCTGCGCCTGTGGATAGATGCCCTCCTTGCCTCACTGTAGCTACGTGACTGGTAGTACTGTCATACATAAAACTGCAGCTACACTTGATTTCTCGTGTCTTCACTGGTGGTGTTACATTCTGGAATGCTTAAACTGAAAGTTTCAGAAAGAATTTCATTTACCTTTACTGGTTATTGCGGTACTCATGCCTAATTCTACAGATTCTAATTTATAAATTTAACCAGTACTAACCTAGAAATTACAAAGATTATATTTAATCAAAGTGCATAAATTTTTTTTGAAGGGTATGTTTTTGTACTTTTTAACAATTTAATAAACCTAACATTCATTTAACATTTGTTAACATATTAATATAATAGCCTCATACACCTTCTGTTGGCAATTTTAATACTTCTGAATGATCGTTTATAAATAAAATCTAATTTGTCGTTCAAATAAAAAGGAAAGTCTATAAACAAGCTGCTTGTCTGTGTTATGCTTTTTGGGAAATGCTAAAAAAGATTTCAGGCTCTACCAATTTGACATTTACAGACTGAAGCAAGGCCAAAACCTGTGCATCCATGTAAGCATATTAGGCATCACCAGGCCTTTCTAACTGCTAAGCTTCTGCCCCAATTGGAATTCCGAGGAAGAACACAGAGGGGGGGGGCGAATCCCTACAGTTATTGATCAAGAGTTCACCTAGTGAGGGGGTTCAACTAGTGGGGGGAATTGACCTCAATTAAACCACATAAAATTCCGAGTTCCATACTCAAGGACCCCATTCCGGATGTGAATTCCTGAGGTATTTATAGGATTCCTTGCCAGTGTGGTTTAATTTACATTGGCCAAACTAAGAGAGCCTTAAAATTTCACTTTAAGGAACATGAGGCATATGTTTAGGAATAAAGAAACACAGAAGTCTTCTGTTGCCCAGAATTGTTGGTTGGAAATTCACACTTTTCTATTTTTCTTCAGCCAAAATTATTAAAAAAAAACAGCTTTCATTGGATTAACTTAGATTTCCTAGAGGCATTTCACATTCAAAAAAGTCCTTCCTGTTCTAGTTACGATCCTAATTCCAATCCATCTTTACCTTCAGCCTTTAAAGGAAATTATGCCAATAGTTCTGGTTTCACTAACAAATTGCTTACCACTAGCTTATTTTCTGTCCAGTTCTTATCTTATCCTGATCACTATATCCTTATCTTGTTTCATTTTCACTTTCTGGCAGCCTGCAGGGGATGAGGGTTCAGTAAAACCATCGAAACTAGTCCTGTGAAAATTTGAAAATATAACACTGATTTCTGTTGTTTGACTTCTGAATTAGTAGCACACATGTGTTTCCTTGGTTCAGAATCTGAAACAATTCAAATATATAATGACGACATCTTCGTTTCTTATGTAAGATTATGTACTGCTGCAAATGGATATAATTTTCTTTTAACAAACCAATAGTGCCCTTCCCTTTGAGGTACATAAAATTGACCAAAAACTTCATGAGCAAAGTACTCACAAAAATGAAGAAACTAGCTCAATCACTGGACATTAATATCATACAGTACATATGGGATCACATCAGAAAAGAAGTAGCTCCTTTGTCTCCCTTTCTAAGATCCTTAAATGAACTGCAGTGATAGTTATGATATGTGCAATTTTTACTTCCAGTTGATGTATCTCGCAATTTAATTGACAGCACGGATAGAATGTTTCAAACCAGCATTCATGCCAGAAGAGAGCCTATTCCATCCAAAAGTCTTTCTTATTTATTTAATAAAAAGGATTTCCTTCATATTCAATTAATGAAGTATTTTCTGATAACCATATTTCAAATTTTTTCCAGAAGTACAAGAGATACAGCTTTTGTAATACACAATTAATCAGTGCATAGTCTATGCTTGTGCCAACTTTCATAATCCTATATTACTTGAAACAACTAATTGTTCTTTGACTGTCAGAGGGCAGTATACCTGTGAAGAAAAGAAGTTAAAGGTTACCAAGTGTAATGAACTAATGCCATATGGCCACCCAGCAGGTATAGTTGATAGTGACACTGACTGCTGTACTGATGGGCCCTGGTTCAAATCCTCTAAAAGGCATGGATGTTTGTATGTATATAGTGCCTGTACAGCAAAGGGGCATTAAAATACTCAGCAAGCTAAAAGTACTCTCGACAAGCTGATGGTAGAGAAAGAGGAGTGAGAGACCCTCCGACCGCAGAGTGCTTCTCTCAAAATTAGGTTGGAACTGCACAGTTAGTGCGGCAAGACTTAACTTGCACAACCAACAGCAAAATTCTGGTGGATAATAAACACATGGTAATATAACCTGACAGCCTAAAATTTTAGACTCTACTAAGGATACTTGTGTTAAAACTAAACAAAAGGACACACCTGACCTTCAGGGTTGTTCATCAACAATGCCTATGAATTGACAGTTACTAGTGTTAGTCAGTGCAGTAAATTTAGATAGAATGAATGTCAAAATAAAATTAAATCAAAGGAAAGAGATGTCTGCAAAGACAACTGGGCATCAGTAACAAATAAGTTGATAGTCACAGGCACTCAACTCATAAATCTTCTGCATGAGATTAGGTGGCATATGCAACTAGAATTATTAACATAAAAAATTTAACAGGATGCAGATGCCCATTGTTGTACATAATTTACAGATGTGAGCCAGTGAAATATATTTAAATGCATTTTTACAATTAGAATGATGGGCCTTTCACAGTAGTTTGACATTAGTGTGAGGTAACAGAATAAATTTACAGTGTTAAAATGAAATTAAATTGGATGACATTATGCTTATCAAAAGTTGGTCATCAGTGGGCAGCAAAGAAAATTTAGACAGATTATTAAAATTAAATTAAACTAAAGGAAACAGTTGTCCGTAAGTTGCACACCAGTAACTTAGAAGAATGATCATTAGTATGAAACTGTGCTGTTTTATTAAATTAAAATTAAACTCCAGTACACTGATGGCATATAGTTTGATGGACAACTTCAGTCAGTAATATATGCCACCAAAGTAGGGTGATGCAGTAAACTTAGAAATACTATTAAAATTAAATAAAATCGTATGATACTGTTCACTTGTAACCAGTGACTTAGGAGTTCAGAATTACTGTGAAAAAGTGTAGTGCTTTTTGTCAAGGCAAAATTTGCCAAGGCATGAGTATGATAAGTGTATGATAGCATAACATAACAATATAACCAAAGCATAAGGTAATGTTAACACTCAAAAACAACTATTTCATTTGTTAAAAAAGATATTTGGTAAAAAACTGAAACTGAAACAATGTAACTGTAGTTTTAAATCTCTTATGAAGGAAATGTGTAATAAATTTGTGAAAGATTGAGAAATGCAGTTTTTTCCAAAGACTAGAATTATCAAATTACTCTGCCAAAGAAACATTGAATTAATAGCGACACATTTTCATGAAGTTGACATTCACAGTAGAACTTCACTGACAGTTTGACTCGTGACCAGTTAATTAATCATATCATAAATGATCTTCCAGCTGCTTATGTAGAGCCAGAGTTTTTCCCAAAGTTATTTTTTTAATTTTAATTTTTTTCATATTATCTGTGATAAGGATGCTACTAAAAAAGTTAAAAAGCTAGACAAGAATTACATTTGTTTACATATATACTTTTCCAATAAAGCTATTGTTTACTTCCACACCTATTGAATTAATTTCCACATTTTGTTGCCCTGCGTTGGCAACATGTTTTTTTTTTTTTTTTTTTTTTTTTTTTTTTATGTGTCTTTCATAGAATTCGGTCGCTAAAAGTGTAGCTGTTGTAATTCTTATTTTAAAGCTTATCTGTATTGCTGAATTA